ACAATGGAATTCTATACAGCACAAAGAAAGAAGCTCCTACCCTTTGCAATAGCATGGATGGAACTGGAAAGCATTATGCTGAGTGAAATAAGCCAGGTGATGAAAGACAAATACCATATGATCTCACCTTTAACAGGAACCTTAACAACAAAACAAACAAGCAAGCAAAATAAAAACAAGGACACTGAAATAGAGAACAGGGGGGCAGTGACCGGAGGGGAGGGGGGAGGGAATTTCAGGGGAGAAAGGGGAAGGATTTACAGGAACTAGTATAAAGGACAAATAGAGAACAAATAAGGGGGGTAAAAATGGAAGGGAGGTGGGGAGCACTAGTGGGGTGGACTGGGATCGGAGTAAAAGACAGAAAACTGTACTTGGACAATAATTTAAAAATAATTTCTTTCCCAGTGTTTCACAGATTTTGGATTTGTTGTGTCCTTGTTTTCATTTGTTTCAAGGTAACTTTTGACTTTTTCCTTCATCTTGTTGTTGCCCCACTCATTGTTTAACAATGGTATTTAGCTCCAATTTCTTTGAGTTTTTCAGTGTTCTTGTGATTCATTTCTAGTTTCACAGCACTGTGATCAGAGATGCTTGATATTTCAATCTTCTTAAATTTATTGAGACTTGTTTTGTGTGCTAACATGTGCTCTACTGTAGAAAATATTTCATATGCACTTGAGAAGTTATGTATATTGTTGCTTTGGGGTGAAATGCTCTGAAGATATCAATTAAAACCATTTGATCTAGTGTGTCATTTAAGGCTGTTCTTTCCTTGTCGATTTTTTTTTTTTTTTGCCTGGAAGATCTATTCATTGAAGTCAATGTAGTGTCAAAATCCCCAAGTATGATTGTATTTCTGTCGAACTCTCCCTTTAAGTACATCAAGGTTTGCTTTACATATTTAGGTGCCCCTATGTTGTGGACATAAATGTTTACTAGGGTTATATCCTCTTGTTGGATTGTTCCCTTTATCATGATATAGTGTCCTTCTCTGTCCCTTACTATAGCCTTGGTTTTAAAGCCTATTTTGTCAGATAAAAATATTGGTACCCAGCTTCACCCCCCCTTTCCATTTCCATGACCTATATTTTCCATCCTTTTACTTTTAGTCTGTGTGTACATTTTGATCTGAGTAGTCTCTTGGGGGCAGCACATATATGTGTCTTAAAAAAAATCCATTCAGGTACGCTATGGTTGGGGCAGTTAAGACATTTACATTTAAGGTGATCATTGATAGATATGTATTTAGTGACATTTTATTGTTAGACTATTCCTCTTTTTTTCTTTCTTCTTCTTAAAGCAAGCCTTTTTGTTTGTTGTAGTACTGGTTTGGTGTTAACAAACTCGTTTAGCTTTTTCTTGTCTGGGAAGCTCCTTATTTCTCCTTCCATTTTAAAAGATAGCCTTACTGGGTAAAGTAGCCTTGGTTGTAGATTCTTGCTTTTCATCACTTTGAATATTTCAGACCACTCCCTTCTGGCCTGAAATGTTTCAGTTGAGAAATCAGACGCCAGTCTAATTGGTGCTCCCTTGTATATAATTACCTGGTTTTCTCTTGTAATTTTTAGGATTTTCTCCTTGTCTTCACACTTTGTCATTTTAATTATGATGTGTCTCAGTGTAGGACTCTTTGGGTCCAACTTGTTTGGGACTCTCTGCAGTTCTTGAACTTGTGTGTCTTTTCCCTCCACCAGATTAGGGAAGATTTCTGTCATTATTTATTCCAGTAGGTTCTCTATCCCTTGCTCACTCTCTTGGTATTCTGGTATTCCCATGATGTGGATGTTGTTATGCTTCATGTTGTCCAAAAGGTTTCTTCAACTGTCATTAAAATTTTTTTGTTTTGCTTTGCTGTTCTGCCTGGGTGTTTTTTTTTTTTCTATCTTGTCTCCCAAATCAATGATTCAATCCTTTACTTCATGTAACCTACAGTTTATTCCTTCCAGTGTATTATTTATTTCCCATGTGCATTCTTTATTTCTGACCGGTCCTTTTTTACATTTCTATATTTTTCATGCTGTTGAGTATTCCTATAATCATTACTCTAAACTCTCCGCTAAATTGCTTGCTTGCTTTTCATCTAGTTCATCTGGAGAATTTCCTTATTCTTTCATTTGCTGGTGTTTTTTTTTTGTCCTCCTATTTTGGCTACTTCTTCATGTTTTCCACCTTAGTTGTTAAACTCATCAGTGATATAGCCTGAAGCTGCAACCAGCAGCCTGGCTAAGCACCACAGTGTGGGTTACAATAATTCCTGTGGGCAGGGTATTGCTGCCCCTCAGGCTGATGCCACTTGGGAGTGCTCTGCCTGAGAGACATGGCTTCTGCACTATGGGGAATGACTCAGCACAGGGATCCTGGTGGCTTTCTCTTCAGTTCTCTCCCCAGGGCCACCAACTTCAGAATTTCCTCAAGCATCTCTAGTCCACTCTGCCCTCTCTCCAGCCATCTCTTCTTGGCACCCAGAATCCTTGCTGCTTTTCCACAGCTGGATGTTAACTCGATTCCTTTCCAGGTGTGGGGCTGTAGGCTGGGGAGTGTGTCTTGGTGTTTAGACCCCACACTTTTCAGGGTGGAATCCCTGGCCACTGAAATATCCCTCTAGAACTTCAGCTGCTTCCCGTGAGAGCCCAGCCAGCCCTCTCATGCCTCCTCTGCACTCCCTACCAGTCTCGTGGGGAAGTGGGTTTCTTGTGTCTATCCTTGATTATAAGGCTTCTCTCCAGCTAGTGTTCAGTTAGTTATTCAAGATGATTTCTCTACCATTTAGCTGTAATTCTTGATTGGACCTGTGAGGTTAGTATGGCTTCCACTTACTCTGCGGCCATCTTGGATCCTTATATTTGTTTTGATGCTGTGGGATTTTGGGCATGTCAGTGAACCCCTGGATCAATGACCTTTTCTGCTGAAAAATATAATAGAATACCATGTAGCCTGTGAGTTTGTAGTGAGGATTAAACACAACAATGTCTAAAGATAGAACCTCACAAAGCATTTTAAATACTCATAGTTTTAAAGGATATATTTAAGAGTCTTATTCAGATTTTAAAATAATGGTTAATTTTAGTTTCCTGCTATAATTATTTAGCATTTTTTCAGGTGCATATAAATAAACAATAATTTCCAAGTGGCAGCACAGTTTGGAGGATTTTAAAAATTCTTACCTAATGAGATATGCAGTATACCTTATTTCAAGCAATGTCTTACTCTCCCTTAATATCACCTACTTTGTTCTCCATCCAGAATCTGAAGTCTTGTGTCTATGCACTCCCAGTACTTTTGTGAAAGCTGTCTTTACTTTAATAAAAAGAGTTGTGACTCTTAATTATGCACTTAAATATTCAATATTGCTAGGATTTGGGAAGAGAGCCCTACAAGGGAGCTGGTAAGACCAAGAGCATGTGAAGTCAAGCCAGGAAAAGATGATGCCATGCACATTTAAGACATATATATATATATATATATATATATATATATATATATATATATATATAAATAAAAATTACATCCCTGAAGACAGAGTGCTATGTTAATGTATTTATTACAGCAGGTTTTTAGTCATTATTGCCATGAAAAATGTTTCATGAAATTCCACAAAATTCTTTAAACTATTAGTATTAGCTTCTTTTCTCTTTTTATGAAGTGACACTTTGTTAATTTATGAAATATTTACAGTGTTTACAAAAGGCAAGAGAAAGTCTAATAAAATTTCTTATACATACAAAATTTATACATTATACTACTACTGTTTCTGAGATGTCATATTTGGTAGACCAATTAAACTATAACATAAAATAACTTACAAAGATATATTTAATCTCTCTAATTCATTGAAAACAAAACCATATTAGCTATAAATAGTCCTTTAAAGATCATTGTAAAACACATTAATTGCTTTAAATCTAGCTCTAACTTTTACAAATATACTTACTAAATGAATTAGTTCAGATATCAAATAGAACTGCATTTTAAACTTCATTTAATACTACAGGAAAAACAACTGCAAAAGCAAACTGCTGGGTACTTCAAGTAAAAATGTATAGAACCAGTTTTCATGCACGCTTGGGAGGAGGGGCACCCAACACCATTTTAACTGAAATTAATAAGCACAATACTTTCAAGATACACTCAACAAATGTACATCTGTGACTTTATTTCAAAATATGATGCTCTAGCAATAACTCGAACATCCAAGAGAGTCAGCCCTACGCTTTGGCAGATAAGCTAGTTTGAATAGAGCAACATTTGTGAAAACATTCACTTCAGCAGCATATCGCATCCAACATCCTTGCACAGTGCTTTATAGGGGGTTTCCTACAACCTGAAAATGGGTCAGAATTTTAGGAAAGCTCATAGGAAAAACTTAGAAAATAGAACTGGCAAAGTTTAAAAAATCAAATCATATATAACTGGAATCAGTTTCTTTTAAATATAAAAATATGCTTCTCTTGAAAATTATCATATTCCAAAATTTCAAAATAATGAACAACTCATCTACACATCTGTTTCTCTTTAAGTCACCACTTAGGATGGTATAAAATTTGGCATTTACTGAAATACCTTCTGTTTTGATAATTCCTTAGAAGCTGAGCTCAATTTGGTTTTGGCAGTGACACACATTTCACATCTGGGTTTGTTGTAGATAATCTGAAGCAATGCTTTTAAGCAACCTGAGGAAAATCCACTTCACAAACCTGTTTCCCCTTTAGTTTAAATAATGTTATTCCAATTAAGCCCACAAATTATGCACTGTATACACAGCATTTCTAAAGAGACAAATTAAATTTAAACTTTGTATTTTTCAAAAACTCCTTTTGAAAGATGTCAAGATTTTCAAAATCCATATCTGGGCTCCTTCCGTCTGACTGTCGTGTAGACACTACAGTTTTCTTGTAATATGTAATCTAGAAGGCACATATTCAAGAGTTTAAGATTACATTAATTCAAGTTCTACATGGGGGCAAATATTTTAATCTACTTTGTACAGAGACCCCAAATGAAAGTCAACTCTTTCCTTTATTCAGAGTTTGAACACAGCACTGGGCAAGGCTCCCTCTCAGAAGTGAGTTTGCACATGGGGCAGCATTTGCGAAGGGCTTGAAGGTGAAGTCGAGGGATCAGAAAGCTTGGCAGAGTTGGTAAGCTGCAACTCCTCTAGCCTCTTTATGTATTCATCACGCAATGCCAAGAGCTCCATGTAACGCTGCTCCACTGGATTTGGCTGCTGGGGAGAAGCACAAGCCTGAATTACTACTGTGCGCCCACCACATTACAAAAATTCACCTGCTCGGTACACACGTCCTATTCTTTGCATAAGCCCTCTAAGTGAGGTTTAACATTCATACACATAGGTTCTTGTAATATTGCATAATTTAAAACACAGAAAATTACCAAGAATGATAAAATGCCACCAAGAAATAACTATATATACATTTCTTCCCACATGCATCACCATTTTTTAAGTTTTTCAACCCAGACACAGCTCCTGTCTCCTGTGTTGCCTGTCACCAGGCCCTCTGCCCTTTTGCTCCCAGAGGCAACAACTCTTCTCCACTTAGTGGGTAGCTGTCCTTCCTGTGGAGACTTGTGACACTTTTCCTGTAAGTATGCATCCAGAAACAAAATAAGCTATTATTTTTTATTTTGTGAAAGTTTTTATCAAAGGTGGTATATTCTGTAGTTATCAATCAACATTTTGACCAAACAGTATGTTTCTGAATTTGGTCCTTGAGCTCCACTGAATGAATAAACCAGTTTATCTATCCATTCCCACACTGATGAATAGCTGGCAATTTCCAGTGCTCTCTACTACTACATGCAATGCTTTGCTATCCTTGGATACATCTCATGCACATGTGCAAATGTCTATTCAAGGAATTTGACCAGGGACAGGACTGCTGGAGAGGATAATATGGTCTAACTCCACTATATGCTGCCAAATTCCTCTCTGAGGTAGTGATATGACCTTATGTGCCCACTAGTGAGCCTGGCAGTTCTTGTTGCTCCATGTCCACACCAGGAGTTGGGAACGAAAGAGTTTTTTTGGGTTTTTTTTTTTTTTGCCAATCTGACGACAGTAACACGGTAGTTTTTTATTGCATTGTCCTGTTCTACCATACCTTTTCATGTGTTATTGCTCATAGTAATACATGCACAGCTGACAGCAATGGTACTGACACCCACCAGCCTTGGTGTGAATCTTGCTCTGTCTCTTATCAGCTGTATGACTTAACTTTCTAAGTTCCTCCACTTCCCCTCTGTCAAATGGGAATAAAAGTGCCACAGACATCACAGGGTAGTTGTGAGTCAAGTCAGTCAACCTTGTCTGCTTTGCTACAATGCCAAATGCTTTAGCTGATAAATAACACATTGATGGCAGTATAAAAAAAAAGAGGTCATGGTGGAACAGAATATGATGCTCCCAGTATGTTAATTTTTAAACTTTTGTACTGAGATAAATTACACATTAATGTACACAAATCTTAAAATGTTCAGCTCAACAAATGTTTGCATATAGAGACACTAATGCAATTACCACCCAAGCCATTGTACACAACAGGAGAGTACCTTGAAGACCCCCTTACCATCACATTAACGTTTTGAAGTGATCAAGGGAAAGCTCTAGAAAACTTGAGCAATATATGAAGACATTAAGAAAAAAGCCAAAAGTCTACAGAAGTGCATTCCTCTAGTGCTAGTAGCTTCTAGAGCTGTCCAGCTCTCCAATGATTTAAGCCATCTGCCAAAGCTATGAACACCAAGAAGGAAGCTGTGAAGATGATGCACTGATGAAGAAGGCTATGCCTTGGATCTGATTATTAATGCTGAAGGGAATGGTCTGGATTAGGAGCAGATGCCTTCTAGCACCAGCATCAGAGGAGTAAGCATGATGCCTGGGGTTTAAAACTAGGTATTCATTTCCTGTGGCTACTCTAACAAATGAACACAAACTTAGTGGCTTAAAACAAAAAACTTATTCTCTCACAGTTCTGCAGGGCAGAAATCTGAAATGAGAGTGTTAGCAGGCCTGCACTTCCTCTGGAGGCTCTAGGGGACAATCCTTACTTGCCTCTTCCAGTTTCTGGTGGTTCTAGGCTTCCTTGGCTTGTGGCGGCATCACTCCAGCCACTCCTGTTTTCACATGGTCTTCTCCCCTATATGTGTCTGTAGCCTTCCTCTGCTGTCCCTTCTAAGGATACCTGCCATTGGACGTAGGGCCCACTCTAAAGCCATGAGGATCTCATCTTGAGATCCTTAATTACATCTGTAAAGATTCTTTGTACAAATAAGGTCACATTCACAAATTCCAAGTGGACATGTGTTTTGGGGGCCACTAGTCACCCCACCTCAGGTTGCCAAGGAGTGATCAATGGAAGTCAAATGCACATTCAGCAGTCATGTAACTGCCCACATCTACTTGGATTATTGCTTTCACTAGTGCTCTGGTTACAAAGGTTCATAGACTTGGAGAGGTCTCCTCCTAATCCGATTATTCCTATAAGCCCTGTTCTTTTTTTCTGTGAGTCTGCAGACTATGAGGTTTCTTAGAAATGCATGTATAGCATTAGAATAGAAATGTTTTGTTGAGTGCCTGATGCCCAGTAAGTTCTGTGTGCTGCCTGTTAATATCCTTTGCCCATTTTTCTCTTCATGAATTCCACTGAGGTCGAGAAATTGTTCTAGGTGGTCAAGATCCATCAGTGAACAAAGGATGCCCAAATTTCCGTTTTTGTTTTTTATCTTCCGGCAGAGGGAGACAGACAAACAAATAAGGATCCTGTGAGTTACAAAGAATGTTCAAAGGTGAATACCAAGGGGAAAAAAGTAGAGCAGGTTAGGAGGGATGGGGACCAGTGTGGTGCCAGTTACCCTCTAAACAGTGTGGTTTTGGAAGCTGCACTGAGGAGGTGACTTCTGGGGAAAGGCTTAAGGGAAGAGAGGGAAGGAGCCAGGAAGATACATATTTGAGTGTCTGAGGGCAAGCAAGAAGTCCAGTGTGGCTGAAGCACAGTGTATAGAAAGAGTTGGTGAGGAGGCAAGAGGGTCAGAGAGGTAAGGGGTGGGGTGGTGGTCACATAAGGCCTCAGAGGCCATCAAAGGAAGTGAGCTTTGACTCAGGTGAGGTGAGCAGTTACCTGGACTATTTTGAGTAGAGCAGTGGTGGGATCTAGTGTATATTTTACAAGGACCACTTTGGCTGCTGCATTGAGAACAGAATAGCAGCAAGAGTAGAAGTCAGGGAGTCTAGCAACAAATAGCCAAGGACAGGAGGCCTGGCCCATGGTCCTGCTAGGAAATGATTAGAATGCTCAGAGGCTATACAGATTATCAAGGCTGGACCTAGCAGGCTCTCCTGACAGACTGGATGTGAAATATGAGAGAGTAGGGCATCAAGGATGACTCTAAGGTCTCTGGCCAGGAGTTGCCAAGAACTGAAAGCAGAAGATGTAAGGAAAAGCAGGTTTAGGGGCAATATTAGTTCTGTTTAGACCTGTTAAGTGTGATTTGCCATGCCGGCACCATTTACCATCTAGTCCATCTTTTCCCTATGCATTATGATGCTATCTTCTTGCTCTACCAAGTCTCCACTTCTATGTGGTCTGTTTCTGGGCGCTATTTTGTTTCATATGAGTTCTTGACATATAGCAGGCAAGCTCTTCCTTGACAATCTCCAAAATTACCTTCACTATTTTTTAAAACCTCCCTGTTTCATGACTATTAGTATCAGCTTGTTATTGTACCAATGAGTACAGTTAGAGAATAAAAAGAGATCAGAGGTAAAACAATAATTTTTGCTTATGATAAGGCTGTGTAATTAGAATACTTGAGAGAACAGATGGAAAAACTATTAAAAATAAAATAATTCAGACTGGTAATGGGTACAAAATATATAAAAGTAATATGGCTATAGACAAACAAAAATCATTTAGAAGATATAAATAGAAGAGTCTATTTGTGATAGCATACCAAAAGACAAAATAGTGAAAAACGAAACTTAAAGTCAAGTGACTTTAAATATTACATCTCAACTTTTTGCTTGAGGAAATGAATTACAGAGTAAAGAGTGTGCCAGCTCAGCCCAGAATAGAAGACAGGTAATCACCTAGGTATGGAAGTATTTCAGGGTTCAAATAATGTTTATATTCATATTCCTTTTCACTTTTCTATATTAGAAATGACTTACACAGCACACAGTGCAGCCTGTTAATATCTGACTGCCCTTGTTCTCATCCTTGAGTTACCACTATGCAAAATGTGAACTTGCCCAGTACAACCCTGGTTGATAGCTACATGAGGTGCAGTGGTTCCCCAAGTATTATGAGGCTTACCAGAAGCTGAAGCTTACCATGTAGATTTATAATGTGACTAATTTATACTTCTGCTTTCAACATGAACAATTTCCTTATATTAAAAGTACCAAATTTGCTTATTGATAGCTTGCCAAATCTTACCAAATGCAAGCATTAATTTTTCCACCAACTTTGCTGTTTTTATGTGGTAGCAAGGGTTGGTGACTTTTGCTTTTAAAAGCACCCTAACCCTGCCTTCTTCTAGGTGAACAGCTCATTATGGGGGGGGGCGGTATATGCTTTTGGGTCTTCCAGTACTAATAGCATACCATAGTGTTGTGAGTGCTCTAGGTATCAAGGAATCATTTGTATACCAACTGGGCCACACAAGTGAATAACAATTTAACTTTCAAGTGGTTAAGTATATTATTTTAGGTTTACATTATATAATTTTAAAAACTCCTATGTGATTGAACTTTAATCTATTTCTGTATGAACTAATGTTCTATATAAAGTCATTAAGAAATCCGATGCGCTTATAGTTTATACCTCTATTACTGTATTTCTTCCCAAGCATTATAATCATTGGCTTATGTTCCTGGGTGCCCCCACCCAGCCTAGGAGCTCCTTGTGTGCGAAACTATCTCTTCTTAATTTCTGTGTTCCACCCTGTGACTGATGCATGGGAACACTCAATATTTGGGCAATGAAGATACAAAGTGTCAAAGGACATAAAGATACATGAGGAACCCTCCATGTTCAGAAAATCTCTATTGAAAGAAGTTATTTTCTTTTTTGACTAAATTTCACAGATCATAATATAGACCAATTACTGTCTAAAGGAAACAGAAACCTCTGCCAAAGAATGCTCTGTCCTGTCTGGCCCAGTTCAATTTTGCTAAACTCTTTGAGAATAAGGGGATAGATACACTACAGCAGGTTCTTCTATTGATGCCTCTTCCAACTTTCCCTATCACACAATTATTATTACCTTTATATATTAAGAAATGAAGTGCTCTAAATTCCTTGAATTTTAAGAATTTCTCTAAGTACAAATGGGTGATAAGAGATTATATAATCTATAGAGAAATTGCCAATGCTTGCTAATTGTCAATGCTTGCTAATTTTAATTGTCTTAAATGGCTTAAGAGAAAGCCGCAATAAATACAGAAAGATCTTAATGTATAGGACAAACACTGCTTATCTATATAATATTTTTTAATTAGAAAAGGGATATGTCCTCTGTAACAGTAGTTAGAACCTTGGAAAAATTCCCATTTTCTCTTTACTTGATATTCCACTCACTAGAACTACTGCTAAATAAATGCCCTCAACATGCTTCTCAAATTCCAAGCTAACAAGTGGATGTTCTCCAGCTCTGGGATCTGTCACTTTCCAAAAGGTTACATATTTCAACCATTACTAAATTGCAAGAGCCTTTCATGCATGCAGCAGAGACCTTCAAATGAGAGTGCCAGCTTGAATTGGGCATTTCCCCACTGAGAAGAGAGAGCACAGAATGGCATGAGGCCAGCTGCTTGAGCGGAGTAAACAATCTAAGAGACAGCCTGCAGCACCAGGCCCCTGCTGTTGCCTGATGATTTCTAGCAGGATTAAAGCTGGTGTTTATGCAAGACTGGCCTGTGAGAACAGGTAGTGGACCGACCAAATTACTGGAAAATGTACAAACCTTTACAAAGAGCAATCACAAATACTGAATATTGATAGCACTTGGAACAAACCACCAACTGGAAGTACTACCGAGCCTTTACAAACAGGCTATATCTTCTTCTGATTTCTGATGGAGTCGGGGTGGGAAAATGGATAGCATGACTGTGTCTTTAATAAAATGTGGCATTTTTCACTTCAAAAACCATTGTTTCTTTTGAGAAAGAAGAACAAAGTAGGAGGGATCATAATACCTGATATCAAACTGTATTACAAAGCCACTGTAATCAAAACAGCCTGGTACTGGCATAAAAACAGGCATATAGACCAATGGAACAGAACAGAGAGCCCAGAAATCAACCCAACTCTCTACAGTCAATTAATATTTGACAAAGGGGGCAGTAACATAAAATGGAGTAAAGATAGCCTCTTCAACAAATGGTGTTGGGAGAACTGGACAGCTACGTGCAAAAAAATGAAACTTGAGCACCAACTTACACCATACACCAAAATAAATTCAAGGTGGATAAAAGACTTAAATATAAGCCGTGACACCATTAAAGTCCTAGAGGAGAACATCGGCAAGAAAATCTCAGATATTCCACGCAGCAACATTTTTACCGATATGTCCCCTAGAGCAAGGGATATACAGGAAAGAATAAACAAATGGGACCTCATCAAAATAAAAAGCTTCTGCATGGCCAAAGAAAACAGTATTAAATTAGCAAGACAACCAACTGTATGGGAAAACATATTTGCCAATGATACCTCAGACAAAGGTTTAATCTCCAAAATATACAAAGAACTTACAAGACTCCACTCTAGGAAGACATCGAACCCAATTAAAAAATGGGAAAAGGACTTGAACAGACACTTCTCCAAAGAGGACATACAGAATATCCAGAGACACATGAAGAGGTGCTCAATATCGTTAGCTATCAGAGAGATGCAAATTAAAACCACAATGAGGTACCACTTTACACCAGTCAGGACGGCTATCATAAACAAAGCAATAAACTACAAATGTTGGAGAGGTTGTGGGGAAAAGGGGTCCTTAGTTCACTGTTGGTGGGATTGCAGACTGGTACAACCATTATGGAAAACAGTATGGAATTTTCTCAGAAAAATAAAAATCGACCTGCCTTTTGACCCAGCAATTCCACTGCTAGGATTATATCCCAAGAATCCTAAAACATCAATTTCAAAGAACCTATGCACCAAAATGTTCATAGCAGCACAATTTACAATAGCCAAGAGTTGGAAGCAACCTAGGTGCCCATCAGTAAATGAATGGATCAAAAAATTGTGGTACATATACACAATGGAATTCTATGCAGCAGAGAGAAAGAAGGAGCTACTACCCTTTGCAACAACATGGATGGAACTGGAAAGCATTATGCTGAGTGAATAGGCCAGGCATTGAAGGACAAATACCATATGATCTCACCTTTAACAGGAAGCTAAATAACAAAATAAACAAGCAAATAGAATAAAAACAAAGACACTAAAATAGAGAAAAAGTGGGCAGCGACCAGAGGGGAGAAGGAAGGGAATTTAAGGGGAAAAACGAGGAGGGATTTTGAAGAACAAGTATGAAAGACACAGGGATGAGGTCTGTGGGGAGGGGGGGGATGGGAGGGAGGTGGGGAGATGGGGTGGAGGGGGGGTTGGGATGGGAGAAATTGACAAAAGAAAACTGTACTTGAAAAATAACTCAATAAATTAAAAAAAAAACCATTGTTTCCATTTTTAAATGAGAACCCTCAGGAAAAAGCACTCTGATGTTAGTTGACCTAGTACATACCCCTGAACCAAATAGTAGATGCTTTCTTTCCTATGATGTGCAAAAACTTCTGGTGATTAAAGGAAATCCTCGGCTATCAAAACTCAGTCATTTTCTAGAACATTAAATCAGTTTACATTTTAGTGAAAAGAATATACTATTCCCATTGACAAAAGAATATCAGTTTAACCCTAATCAAAATAGATGGTTTAGTAATTAATAAGTTTTAATGAAAACTGTGTTTAAAAGCAAGTGTGACTTTGTAGTCTGATAACATTCCCCCTCATAACATTTAAAAAATACCAAATAACATTATCAAAGTCCAAAAGTAATAATCAATCAACATTACCGTTTTTAACAATGCCAGTTAATTTACCTGTTGTTTGATTCTGGGGTTCCATCTAATGTAGTAATTCACCCAAAGTTCCAAGTGACGCATACTGGCAACTGGATATAAAACTCGATTGATTTCTTTAGTATAGAAAGGGTTTCTGAACGTGTCTTTATTACTGTTTATCAGCGACCACAAAGAAACTGTTCTTTCTGTAACTTTCTATAGAGAAGAGAAAGTGGAATGCTTAAGTAAAAACACACACAGCCATACAAAACAGTTTATAGCCTATGGCAATACAGTTGAGCACCAACTTGAATCACACATTTGCATTATGCTCATAATAGCTCAAAAAGCCTCATGGGCCAGTGAGTGCTCCTCGCCTCCATGCTCCTCAGCCACTTACCGATATTTGCATAGATAATGGCCTAGCTACCTAAGAAGACTATTACTGGCTAGGTAAAACATATATGAACAGATGGTCAGTATGCTCTTTTTATTCAACAGAAAGAAAAATAATCATAAGAACCCACTGACATTTTTGCATTTGTTAGAACAATGAAATATTAATCTGTATCCACTTGACAATAGGCATCTGAAGTTATTTAACTCAACCATCCAGATGTTTAATCTATATCAAGCTAACATCCAGATATTTGAAAACATCTGGGTAACTGCCTTCACTGAATCTTCACTTTTTTAGTCTGGTGTGTATCATATCATACAGGTATTCACATTTTCATTGTTTTTAGTATATATTTTTACTGATTTTGACCATGACCTAGAAAAACATGAAAGTATGGGTAAAAATATAAGTATTAAAATTACTAAAGTGATATGCATAGCCCATGGACACAGTCAATATGGTGGAGGTCAGGGAGAAGGGTAAGGGCTGGGGGAAGGAGGAGAATGGGAAACATCTGTAAAGTGTCAACAATAAAAAATTAAATTTAAAGAAAAAGTAAAACTTCTACTACTAACCACTTCAATAGGAAAGGAAAAATATGCTAAAATTGAAAGCTGAAAAGAATATCTTGAAATAGTGACTGAAGAAATTTCTTTTACATACGTACTTTTTTAATGTGAATGATAATAATGGCAGCTTAATTTGGTCTTCATTGGAATCCACCTACAACTTCAACTGTACCTTTCTGATGCCACTACATACACTGCATTGTGTTTATTTGCATGTCTGTTTTTATTTTTATACATGCAGTTTAAAAATGATATTGTTCAATAAGGTTATAAAAATAACAGCCTGTTGCCTCTCTCCCTAGAATAACTGTGTTTAATTTTGTCACTTGATTTAATTATTCAGTACTCACCTCCAAATCTTTAAATAACATGCTTTTCTTGCTCCCTGTTGGCTAACAAGTTATAGGCATTAACTACGACATTGCCACACTGAGAATGTCTCCCCTCTATCCTGTCACACATACACACATTTTATATTCTGCCTTTACTCCCAATATACAGCATAGCTTTGATCACATCAATGTTTAAATGTTTAGATTCCTATGATGAAGCCAGTGTTCTTTCCACGTAAGCCACATAGTCACTATTCTGTGATTTTTTTCCTATACATTTTTCCCCTTGAATTAAACTATATATTCTGTTTGTTTACATTCTGGCACTTATTAATTCAACTGCAATTTTTTCCTCCAGTCTCAAACTTCTGTCAAGATGCTCTCTGCACATCTGGGGCCCACAGTTTCATTTTCAGAGGAGAGAAAGCTGCACTGGGTGGTGACCCAGAACCTTGCACCCATCTCTCATCTAAGATTTCTTCTGTTTTGCCCTGAGCATCCTCTTTCCTCTCTCTGTGCTGGAGCTCCTGCTTCCTGACCTTCACCCAGTCTTCTTTGTTCTTTGCATGGAGCACATACTGCAGTAGCTTTCAGAGAAATGGTATGGTATGGGTGGTAAATCTTCATGTTGCCATACATGCCTGGGAATATCTTTGGTCTACCATCACATTTGGTTAACAGTTTGGTGGCTACAGAATGGTTGAAACCATTCTCCTTTAAAATTCTGAAGGCAATGCTCCATTGATTTCTAGCTTCAATATTGCTGTTGAAGAATTCAAAGTCTTCCTGATTTTTTTTGTAGCAAATAACCTATTTTTTAATCTTTGGGAGCTTAAAGGTTCTTTTCTTTATCCTCAGTGTTCTGAAACTTCACAAAGATATGCCTTATAATGGGTCTATTCTTGTCCACTGTGCTTGGGCACTTAGCAGATTTTCAATGTGGAAATGTAAGAACTTCAATTCTTGGAAATATTTTCATTTCAGTAATATCCTGCTCTCTGGATTCCCTATTTTCTCTTTCTAAAGTCCAACTATTTTGATATTGGAACTCCAGGACTGATCTAATTTTCTTGTTTTCTTTTCTACCTCTGCCCCTACACTCTTATTTTCTGGGAGATTTCAGCTTTATCTTCCAAGTCTTCTGAGTTTTAAATTTCTGTTGATATCATTTTTTTCCATCTATTTTCTTCATCTATTAGTCTCCCCAAAACTTCCCCCTTTGCATTCTGCCATCCAGCCATCTGCACACCACTGTCCATGTCCATGGGTCACTCCTACATGTTTCCGACCCCTTCCCCCTTTTCTACTATTCCCCACTTCATCACTTTCTCTGGCAGCTGTCCGACTTCCCTGCTTCCATGTCTCTGGTTCTGTTTTGCTCATTAGTTTATTTTGTTCATTACATTCCTCTTGTAAGTGTGATTATATGGTATTTGTCTTTCACCAACTGGTTTACTTCACTTAGCATAATACTCTCCACTTCTGTCCATGCTACTGCAAAGGGTAGGCATTTTTTCTTCTTTGTGCTGCATACTATGCCATTGTGTAAATGTACCAGTTTTTAAATCCATTCATCTACTGATAGATGCTTAGGCTACTTCCAACACTCAACTATTGTATAGAGTGCAGCTATGAACATAGGAGTGCATAAGCTCTTTTGATTTGGTGTTTTGGGATTCTTAGGGTATATTCCCAGCAGTGGAAGCACTGGGTCAAAAGTCAGGTCCAATCTTAATATTTTTCAAGGAAATTCCATACTGTTTTCAATAGTGGCTGCACCATTCTGCATTCCCACCAACAGTGTACTAGCGTTTCCTTTTCTCCACATCCTCGCAAATACTTGTTGCTATTAATGATGACCATTCAGACAACTGTGAGGTGATATCTCCTTGTGGTTTTAATTTGCATCTCTTTGATGGCTAGCGATGTTGAGCATTCTTTTTTGTCTGTGGGCCATCTATATGTCCTCCTTGGAGAAGTGTTATTCAGATCCTTTACCCATTTCTTAATTGCATTGCTTGTCTTCCTGGTGTTGAGTCCTAAGATTTATTTACATATTTTGGAGATTAAACTCTTGTCTGATGTATCATTGGCAAATATGTTCTCCCATACAGTTGGCTCCCTTTTCATTTTGATGATGGTTTCTTTAGTGGCACAGAAGCTTCTTAATTTGATGTAGTCCCATGTATTTACTTTTTCCTTTATTTCCCTTGCCCTAGGAGGTATATTGGCAAATATATTGCTACATGGGATATCTGAAATTTTACAGCCTGTGTTTTCTGCTATGACTTTTATGGTAGGTATCATGACTAATGTTTAAATCTGTTATCCATTTAGTTTATTCCAGTGTACGGTGTAAGTTAGTGATCTAGTTTCACTTTTTTTTTTTTTTGCATGCACCAGTCCAGTTCTCCCAACACCACTTATTGAAGAGGCTATTTTTTCCACTGTGTACTCATGCCCTCCTTGTCAAACATTAATTGACCATAGAGACATAGGTTTATTTCTGGGCTCTTCAGTTTTATTCTGTTGATCTGTGTCTGTTCTTAGGCCACTGCCAGACTGTTTTGATCACAGTAGCCTTATAGTATAGTTTCATAACAGGTATTTTGATCCCTCCAACTCTGTTCTTCTTTCTTACAATCCTGTGGCTTCAGGATCCTTTTGTTTTTTGTTCCAATAAAATTTTTGAAGTATTTATTCTAGATCTGTGCAATATACCATTGGTATTTTAATAGGAATTGTTTTAAATCTATAGATTGCTTTCATTAGTTAGTATACACATTTTAATATTAGTCCTTCCTTTTCAAGAACATGATATATGCTTCCACTTATTTGTATATTCCTCAATTTCTTTCTTCAGAGTTCTATAGTTTTCTGAGTAAAGATACTTTGCCTCATGGCTAAAAAATAATGGGTACATGATTTTTTGTTTTTGTTGGTATAGTAAATGTGATTTTTTTCTTAGTTTTTATTTCTGATAGTTCATTGTTCATATATGAAAATGTGATCAATTTCTGAATATTGACTTTGTAACCTACTACTTTGCCAAATTCACTTATTAGGCTGAGTAGTTTTTTTGGTGGAAGATTTTCCATGTACATTATACTGTTGTCTGTAAAAAATGACAGTTTAACTTCCTCCTTTCCAATTTGGATGCCTTTTATTTCTTCTTGTCTGATTGCTGTGGCTAGGATCTCCAGTACTACGTTGAATAAGAGTGGTGAAAGCAAACACCTTCATCTTTTTCCAGATCTAAAGTTTTTGCCCGTTGAGTATGATGTTGGCAGTAGGGTTTTCATATATAGCCTTTATTATGTTGAGATGTACTTCCCTCTATTCCCACTTGCCTCTCTTTTTATGAAAAATGGGTGCTATTTTATCAAATGCTTTTGCTTCTATTGATATGACTATGTGATTTTACCTTTCATTTAGTTTATATGATGTAGCATATTTATTGATTTGCGAATATTGTATCATCCTTGCATTCCTGCAATAAATCCCATTTGACCATGGTATGTGATCTTTTTAATGTATTGTTGGATCCTGATTGCTAGTATTTTGTTGAGGATTTTAGCATCTACGTTCATTAGAGATATTGGCCTGTACTTTTCTCCCTTTGTTGTGTCTTTACCTGGCTTTGTGATTAGAATAATACTGGCCTCATAGAATATGTTTGGGAGTCTTCCCTCCCCTTGAATTTCTGGTAATAGTTTAGAAGGGTAGGCATTAGTTCTTTGAATGTTTGGCAAATTTCACCCATGAAGCCACCTGGTCCAGGACTTTTGTGTGTCAGTTTTTGATAAGTGTTTCAATTTTGCTGGTTGTTATTACACTATTCAGGTTTTCTGATTCTTTCTGATTCAATTTTGTAAGATTACATGTTTCTAGACATTTATCCATTTCATCCAGGTT